TTCTCCTGTGTCCTCTCCCTTCTATTATTTAAATAAAAAATGAGAATATCCTATGTGTCCTATCGAGGATGCAGAAATATGTATATTATATTTGGTAAATAGATTTAGCCTAGAAGAGTCAGTTCCCTGAAACCAGGATTACCCCTTATTTATTTGGTTTCTGTTGAGGAAAACAATGAGCTATAGGAAGTGTTGTTGTCCCATGTTCTCAGTTCTGAGCAGCAGAGTAAGTTGTTTGTGGTCTGTTGCTTTTTTAGTATTTTGCACTGCTGCAAACAGTTTCTTCATAACTAGATTGTATTTTACAATGTGTCCAATTCTAAACTCAGAATATTGATTGGGGTTAAGGGATAAATTATTGAATTTAGTACAGGCTAAAATTCTAGTCTTTTTAAGGTTCATTTTTAATTTTTAAGTATTAAAACTAAAAATCACTGTAGCTGAGGGAATAAGTGGTTGTGAGCCACCTGATGTGGATGCTGAGAACTGAAATCAAGTCCTCTTGAAGAGCAGCAAATACACTTAACAACTGAGCAATCTTTTTAGCCCCTACAATTCTAATTTCTGTGGGGACAACAAAGAAGATATTACTTACTTAATGTTTTCTGGCTTTGTTAATTCTGATGTCAATTAGGCATGTATATTTAAAATAGCTTATGTTATATTTTCTACTCTACCACCACCTTAGAGGAAAGCTATAACTTTGAGGTATGGTAAGTGAATGCAGGTGATAGGAGGATAATAGAGTTGAAAAGACTAAGGGTGTTGAAATGTCATGTTTCTTGAATATTTACTGTGAGTCCTTGTGGAGCTGAGTATTTACATGTCATCTGATAATTATCACTAATCCTATAATTTTGTCAGGTATTACCATATTTATAAGGGGACCAGGTCATAGAGGAATTAGGAGACCTAGCCAACATCGTGCACTAACAGATTCTAAAATGGCAGTTCGGGTCTAGAGACAGCCGTTGATCATGATCATATAAGCCACGAAGGTGAATAGAGTTGGGATTCCATTTTGTCCCTCCTGCAAAAATTTCATTCTGCAAATGTCATTTAACTAGACTGTGTTGCTACTATAGAGTGTCCATAAAGGCAGATGTGTGCTTTTAGCCCTTCCCATTTCCTGAGCACAGCTCCTAGTGAATTTCACACTGGAAAATCACGATAGAAAAATCAAGCTCCTTTCTTTACGTCCGTTCCGTGTGCTCTGAGTAGCATTCAAAAGCCAAGAGAAACCTTTTTTTGAACCTTACTCTGGTTGCTTGGTAATCATTCAAACCCACAGTCTCTGTGGCTCTCTGGAGATGTATTGTTTGACTCCGGGAGAGAATTTGTGAATTGCGATTGGACAGCTGAGTGGTAAGTGTCCAGAGAACAAGAATCTGCAGGAAAGCAGACTGAAAGTGTGCAGAAGCCTTACGCTTTGCTGTGTAAGTCGAGAATGACTCTTGTTTATATAAAATGAAGAGATTTAATTATCACTGCCTATTTTTCAGGTTCTTTTCAGTTGTAAAATATGTGAGGCAGCTGCTTTCTGTCTTCCTTGTGTGTCTGCATGCTTTCTTCGTGCCCAGCACTGTTCAGTGTGAATGAGGACACTGGCATGTGCTCCAGTTCCCCTCTTAGCCCTGGGAAACTCTGTTGTTATTACAAAGCAAGACTATTTTATATATGATACTCTGTATATTCTCTACTTAAAATGTGAAGAAATGGCAAGCTCTTAAGACTTGAGTAGCTTTGCCTTTATGATTCTTCAGCAAAAAAGAGTATGTTTTAAAGTTTCCTGTTTTATAATAGAAATTTTAATCCAGATGTTGAAATTATTTACAAGATATAGAACACATTTTAAGACTTAAATTGACGTCTGCCAAGATTTATCCAAATAAAATGTTTAGAAAAATTCAGAAAATCATTACATATTACTGCATAAGAAAAGGTACGAGCAACAAATAAAAAATGATATTGGTTGAACATTATAGACTAAAATGTGGTCTGGTAGAGTGCTAATCTACTGTCTACCTCAAATCCTCGTTCTGGTGGTCTGCCTGGCTGTGCTTTGCTTGCCCATTGGTGTGCACAGCTGAGTGCTCTCGGGGACCTCTGCAGCTATTCATCCTTGTTCTCTGCTTTCCATTTGCAGTAGTGTCTCGTGCCCTGTACCATGTTTGGTCTTTGTGGAATCTTAGTGCCTTCTTTTGAACTCATGCATTCCTCTGGTCTCACTCTGAATTTTCTATCTATACTCAGCAGCCTTAAAGACTCCTCAAGACAATAAATGTAATACCAACCTTGTTTCTCACTTCGCAGGAATCAGCTCTTTATTACCTGATATCCTTCTATACATAAAAAATACTTCCTTGATATGTTTAGTCCAGTTCTTTGGCTCTTCTTAGGTAGGAAAGTTAATCTGTGTCTTCTACTCCATTTTGACCAGAAATGAAGAATGAAGCACCTACTTCATACTTACCCCTGGGATGGTTTGGAGGGATGAAAAAGTGTGTGTGTGTGTGTGTGTGTGTGTGTTATAATCCCAACAAATAAATAGTTTTTAAATGTTAAAAATAATTCTCCTTGGATCATTTTAGAGTACAGCTTTACAAATTATTCTGTACATGTTGAAAGGTCGTGATGTTCTCAACAGTAGAGAATTAGAGAAATGGTTTTGTAGTCAAATAACAGAACAAGTCACGGCATCATTGGATGTGTTCAGAACACCTTTCCTGAGACTCATGCCACGTCATTGTGTTTATGCCTGTTCATATAACACCTTTTACTATCATTCTAAGTGTATTATTTGTATTTCTTGTTTGTTCTTTGACTATCTAACTTGTAGCTTTTGACTCCAGTATCTTCAACAAGTTTTCATGGTACTTGTGTAGCAGTATTTTCTCTTCTTTGATACCTGTATGGATTGGGTCAAGGCATAAATGAGCAAAGCAAATCCGTGCCCATCCTTAAAGATCCTACAGCTTAGAACATAAATGTTATTCATTGACAAAGGCTTAAGGAAAGTAGCAGTTAGCAGTATGAGTAAAGTGCTCATACACTGTTAGTTGCTTTATGTTGGCACTTGAAAAGACATGAAGGGAGCAAGATTTAAAGCAGGTAAGAAAGTTGGTAAGTCACAATTGAGAATCAATCAACTTGTCAATTTAATTTCAAAACCTATACTCTTTTGTTCTTATATTACATATGGAAAAAATAGTTTTGTGAAAAAATAGGCTTAATTTTATTTCAAATTTAATAATGTTTCAAATAATGCTGGATGTTCTTATTTAAAGTTATTTTATTTCCTTGAACAACTCAGTTTCTTATCTAGACTTAGTAGTGTAGTCCTATAATATCAGGTCTTAGGAAACTGAAGAAGGAGGATGGATTCAGGGCCAACCTCGGCTACATAATAATGACACTCTTGTCTCAAAATAAGAAAAAAAAAACAGAGACAGAGAGGGAGAAGAGATGAGAGACAGAATGAGCTAGATTATGCCGCCTTTTCAGTACTTAAGGTTCCTACTTTAAGCGTAACATTTTTCTAATGGACCTAAAATTTGATTTTCCTTCAAATCTTTAACTTTAACTTGTGAATTCTTGATATTTCCTAAATTTTAAACTTATTTTGATGCTTTTGTTTTACCTAAAAAAGCAAATCTCCCCAAACTCCAAGGAAAAAAACAAGATGAAAGAGTATGCTTACTGTGGGGTTGTGTGCTGGTCCTTTTAGCCTGAGCTGAATAATCAAAGATATATTTTCTTAAATATGTAGGTACTAAAATATTGTTAGCATCATTATATTTTTCTTAGGCTTGATAGTGAGTCTCTTGATTTTTCTCGCTTTTTCAGAGCCCATCCCACTATGTGTAACTTCTAGTAGTTTAAAGAGGCTTCATCCATTTTCCCTTTTTTGTCTGTATCATGGGGAAAATGTATTCCATAGAGCAAGAAATCATGTTCATAATAAATAAGGTCTACTTGTTCCTAGTCATATTTTATTTTCTTTGTCCTGTATTTGAACTTAGCAGAGTTAGAGGTGATCTACATGCAATCCTTTGCAGGATTTACTGTGGTCTTGAACTTGTGGTCGTTCTCTTTCCCCTGCCTTTGCTTGTGTGTTTCTGCCAGGGTTCAGTGTCCCATACACTATGGCTGTGTACCTGTTGTATTTCAGTGTAGGCATCTACATCTGGAGTCCTCAGCTTCTCTTCCTCACTCTTCCCACTGTGCCACAGTGTATTGGGATCTCCTCTCCTTTGCTGTGACATCCTGGATATCTCTGCCATTGTTCTTAACTGCATTAACTTTGCACTAAATGCATCTTTCTCATGAGATAACTCCTTTAAGAAATTATTTATTTCCTTGTTATAGTTATCATTTCATTGTCTGGCACAGTACCTGGCAAACATCAGTTATCTCATAGTTAATTGAAGAATGCATAAATTAGTAACATTAATTTCTTTATCATTTTTATAACTTTAAAATGTAAGTTTTAACATAATTTTTTATCAAGGCCTATTCTATTCTTTTTAAAGATTTATAAGTAATTTGCTTTTCTTTTAAAATTTTGAAAAAAATTGTCAGAAGCCAGATTTGTTTAATGTCATTCAAGTGTCAATTGTGTGATACTCCCCTCCGCCCCCCAATCTCCACTGCCTCTTAAGATGGTGACCCTACGAATGAGACGGAGTGAAGAACATTGGGTGGGTAGAGATTAAGATTCCCTGCTGGCTTGTAATTACAAGACTCTGGATGGTTATTTATTTGGATGAAATGATGCATACATTTTTGCATGCATCAAAAGTAAAGCATGTGTGATTGTTGGAGGAATGTCTGAATTCCCCAGTGGGGTGTCATGGGGATGTTTATAAACTCTCACCCAGCAGTTCTTCCACAATGGAATCTCATTGGCATTGAGATAATAATTTGCACAGTCAAATTACTTTCTTTACAAAACCAAGGGACTCATGAGGACCTAATCCTTTATTAATGTTAACCCATAGGCTGCAAGAAAGCGTAAGATTGCCATTCGCAAAGCCCAGGGTAAGAATGTGGAGGCCATTCGAGAGCTGAATGAGTATCTGGAACAGTGAGTGTTTTACAAGGGGATTGTGTTTTGTTATTCTGATAAATCTTTTTTTAATTAAAATGGAATTTGCATTTGATTTTCTAGTTTGTTCATTTATAGAACATTTACACATACTCTTTTCCCTTATTTTCTCCTATCAGATTTGTAGGAGACCAAGAAGCCTGGCATGAACTCGCAGAACTTTATATCAATGAACATGAGTAAGTTGTTAAAAACACATAGAACTTTAAGAATGAAACTGTAAAGTTCAGTAGAATCATTTCTAGAAGATTGGAAAAAAAGTCAACCACCTGTCATTGTAGATGAGGAGGAACTAATTAAGTGAGCAAATAAGTAAAAAATAATAAATAAAAATTGCTAGTTATGTCAATAGCTTTTAACTGGGTCATTTGGCTTTACTAAATTGTTTTTGACCAGAAAATAAGCTTTTCTTTTAAATACAAATGGGATCCTTTGGAATCTGAAAGGCTTTTTGCTAAGCTATTTCTTTTGGGAAATCAAAATTGTGAATTTTAGAGTTCAAATTGTTCTCATATACAAAGAGTATTATGCTCCCTGCTGTTTAAAAATTCAGTCAATTGTATGCATTTATTAACCTCAGTCCTAAGAGAGTCAACTCTTCCCAAGCAGAAGCGTCTGGTTGCCTGGGTTAAAAAGTAAGTGTGATCAAGAATGTTGAATGTTGTAGGAACTTGGTTATTGGGTATTTAATGTTTTTGTTAGCTTTATTATTGCCGTAGTGACAAGAGGAAACCCTAGTGAGCAAGGATTAGTGCAGAGTCCTAGTGGAGGTTTACAAACATCGTAGCATTAGCACCAACCTCCAAATAGAGTGTGAGGCTTACTTCTTTTTTCATTTAGGCCTAAATCTGAATGATATCACATTGCCTTCCTTTTGAAAGAATAGAATTAGATTCCCACGCACACTTTCTTATGTGTGTGAATAGTTAACTTTTCTCTCAGTACTACACGCAGATGGCACCAGAGATAAAACAGAAGGAGATGTGTGTGTTGCCTTTGCCCAGGTCTTTACAAATGACTGTGGAATCATACTCATGATTTTAGTGAAAGTGGCATTGAGAATAAAAGCCATAGCTGTCATGTAGAATGCATATTACATCCAGGAGCCGTTCTTCCCTTGTGTTGTGCCAGAATCTCTTCCCAGGGTAAAGGATCTGTTTACAGAATTGTGTTCAGAGTAAATGTGTATAAATAAGCCTGTGTATGCTCAGGATGGGGTGACATACAATATTTCAGTAGAAAACTAGATGTTCAATGTGCATTACAAATGCTAACATTAGATTTTATTTTTATAAAGGTGGGCAATCATTTACAATTTCTTTGTACTTTTTGAAGATCCCTAACTAAAAGCATTTTTAAAGTTTCAAATTATCAAGGAAATCTTATTTTTTTCAAGGCAAAAAAATATCAAATGCAGAAAACCTAGAAACTCCAATAAAACAAAGTCACGCTCAAATTTACTTAAAATTCCACCCAGCTAACTGCAGTGTCCCTGCCTTCCCGTGTTGTGTGCTGCATGCAAACCACTTCAATCTTGTGAGCACATTTCATCTTAACCTTCATTTGAATTTTTGGTGACATCTTAGCTAAAAAAGCATTTTTAGATATTGAAGGTCAGACAGAGAGTGCTTTCTCCTTACTTTTTAGATAAGTAGCTATTAGATGAGTCATCCATGGTTTTGTTATAGATTTGTATCTAGTCCTTTATTCGTCTACTTATTTAGTGGATACCTTTTCAAGAATGAATGCTAAATTTTAGGTATAAAGATAAGAAGAGCTGAAAATTGCAAAAGTTGGATAGGAATCTGTGTGTAAGATCCTCCAGAAATAGATGATTTTGGGGAGTTTCCAGGGTGAATTTAGTTCCATATTCCCTTTGTGTTTGACCACTGTACTGGCTGACAATTTCGTTACTATTGCCAACACAAGTTTTCATAGTGGTGTGTGGAGCTGTATCCAGGCAAGTCAGGCAGTAGTTATAGCGTGGATCTCTTCAGTGGTTCAGCCTTGGATTATAGTTGACCTCCCTGTACCTCTCTCTCTCTGCAGAGAATCAGAGTATTAATTTCCTACTTTTTTGGGTGTTTTTGTAAGATAAAATGGGTTAATACACTTAAATATTTTGAGTATTACAAGGCATACAATGAACACATAATGAAATTACTTATTACTGTTTATGTAAGTGTGGATTTAGAGTATATATTTCAGAAAATATGCAAAGTGTTACTATGCACATATTGATGAATAGTAAAATTAACTTTAGTTATCTTTGTTCTGTTGAGTAGGGTCACTACCTCACTGGGAATAAACCTTGCAACAGCTAAGCATTCTTAAGGGTTTTCTGTAAATAGCGAGGATGGTTACATAGCTTTAAGCATATAAAATTAAGGTGAATTACAATCACATGGTCTAAAAGCTATTTTTACCCAAATCCTCCTGGCAGCTCTCTCCGCGTGTTTTCAGCACCACTTGATTTAATAGTAGTGGAGGGAATATCTGATGTAACTTCATCTATTACTGATAGCTTTAGAAAAACCTAATTTTATTTTGATTTGATATTTGAATATAAAAATGAAAAGTCTTTGTTGTAGAATATATTGAAGGTTGTAAAGCAATTAGACAGTATTTTGTTAAATGCTGTATTTCCTTCTGCTGCTTTAGCTATTTAAACATTAATGGTAAATTTATAGAAGCTATGCTATGTAGAACTCCAAGGGTAGGGCCTGTGCAGTTGATGTGTAGGTGCTACAGTAATGATGCAACTCTTAGAGAAGTAATAGCCATTGGTTCATAGCTTACTTTGGGATTTAAACATAGATTTATTATTCACTTCAATAAAAGTCTACATATTAGATTTTGAATTAATAGATGCTTTAAATCTTCTTAAATAGCTTTAGAAATAAGTTTATAATGTCACTAAGATTTTAAAATTATTTTAAAGTATGCTTAAGAAAGTTTGTGACTTAAAATCTCCATATCCCATTAATATTTTGCAGTTATGCCAAGGCAGCCTTCTGCTTAGAGGAGCTAATGATGAGCAACCCGCACAACCACCTGTACTGCCAACAGTATGCGGAAGTGAGTGAGCGCAGCTTTCCTCCTGGCAGCCAGCCTGGCAGCACTTTATAACGGCTAAGGAGTTGTGAGGGGATGCAAGTCAAAAAATTTAAATATTGAGTTGAAATACTAACTTTTCAGTTAGAAGTTCTAGATAAACTGAAATTCTTTGTAGTTTCGTACAGTATTTATGTTGATCTTCCTAATTATGAATCAGTTAAATCACAGTTGTCAATATTTAATTGCTTCTGAGACATTTATAAAGATGATGGCTTTTAAATACATATTCTAGGCAATTCATGAAATATAGGAAATATGTATTTAATTTGTACAGTATTAGAAATCATAGTTTAATTGACTACTGTAATGTTATAAAGACCTCATCTGAAAGGATATGAAAGGACTATTGCTTCCATTATTAAAGTGCAGATGTAAAATAGAGATTCCTATTTGGAGTCTGGATTTATAATACCAGTAATAGAAACGACAGCGTTGTGCCTCAGCAAGACCATTGAAGTGAAAATTGTGCTATACCTTTTTAGTGTGGCAGTATTTTTTATAATAGCTACTCTGATCCTATGTTCATAGCAGAGAATAGTTTGGCAAGGGCAAGTGTGTGTTTTAAATTTTAGATTAACTACCTTACAGTGAATTTTTAGCATGCTGCATTTGTTTATGGAATATCTGTTCTCATTACTTAATGCCTATCTATGATGGAGCTTGCTACATTTCAAAATAGTAAAATAAACAGGTTTCAGCAATCTGTAACTTTTAACAGGTCAAATATACCCAAGGTGGACTTGAAAACCTTGAGCTTTCAAGAAAGTATTTTGCACAGGCACTGAAACTCAACAACCGAAACATGAGAGCTCTGTTTGGGCTTTACATGGTGAGTTGGTGTGCGTGTTCAGCGTTACTCAAAAGAGTCTGGCGTCTACGCCTCCCAGTCTCTCCCTGCTTGCTTTCTGTGTTTTATTGATGAGCATAGTTGATGATGAACAGGAGGTTGCAGAGCAGCTTTCACTGTGATGATTTGTTCTTCTTTCCTCTTTGACATTTCATCTGGTGCCTTATCAGAATTGAACAGTGTCAGATACTAAAGCATAATATATATTGTTCATTTGTTTGATATTCTTGGGTGTGTACCCAGTGTTACTGTACTTCTTTCCCAATTATAAATATAAAAAATATTTTAGCCTATGCCAATAAAAAGTATTAGAAGAAAACTCTCTAGTATATCAAATTTAAATATTTTAAAGATGTAGAAAAACAGTTTGAAAATTATTTGTGAAATTACATAGTTATCAGTTAGCATGGCCCATGAAGACCTTAAAAATATTTAACAAGAACTGTAAGAAGCAGGATATTTTACGGAGCTTTAGGATTGTTAAGACGAGTACCTGTTTGCAGTCAGAAAGGCCAGGGAAACTGACAGGTCCCCTTGTTCTTTGACATTGTAATTTACATTTTGTTTTTCCTTCGTTTTGAAAGTTTATCATTTCAGAATTTCAAACACAAATATATTTTCATAAAATTCACCTTCTACTCCTTCAATATCCTCCCCCTCATTTTTCCTTCTCAGATTCATGTGCTTTTTAAAATATCTACTGAATCCATTAGAGTTGTCAATATTATGCTAGTCTCTTTTTATTGACTCTTGATGAATGTCATTTTTGTTGAAGTCAGTGAAAGATAACTGGTTGAAAATATAGTAATAAGAAACAAATGACATAATTTTCAGGAACAAAATGTAATTAAAGTTTGCCTCAAAGAATTTGAAGAAAATTTTCTTTGATTCTACCAGAAATAATTACAGTTACATCTTCTGGGTTGGAGATGCACCGTTGTTGGCAGTATCTAAGAAATAATGGCCATCTTTAAAGCTGCATGACTTTTACTAAGAATTCCTTGTTTGTACAGGACATTGCTGAGTGCTGGTTTCATTTTAAATCAGTAGTCACATCAACTATTTAAGTACATACTCTAATTGCTACCTGAAATTCATAAATTGTGCAACTGAGATACACACACCTTACAGTTCCTATTTTAAGGTGGGATTCCAGCCCCGGCATTTGGTTTTTATTCAACCACTGCATTGCCTGGATTTCATATAAAAAATTTGCCACAAGATTACAGATAACCCACTGACTTCAGAGGAGCGAGTACAAAGACTGTGAAGGAGACCAACTATAAAAGAAAACTTAGCCTTTCCTGAGTCTCATAGGCAGATCCTTGTAAGAATAAGGTATATTTAGGAATACGACCAAAGTTCAACCTTCCTCTTCCCAGAAGTATAAAGATATATTTTAAATCCACCTTGATATTTTGAAGGTTTTATAGGTTATTTTGTAGATATTAGAGTAAGAATCTCTCATTAAACTACATAGTTTTTAAAGGCAGGTTGTTCTGTGGAGTACGACTGCACTGGAATGACAAGGCGCTTAGGGATGAGTGTCCTCTTTAGATCAGAGACCTCTAACTTGTTTTTCCCAAGCTAGATTATTTCTATTGGCCTTAATATATTTTCACCTTTTAATATAGGAAGTTGTGCTAAATTGTTTTTGAAGTTCTTTCTATTAATATTTGATAATCTGATATTGGAGATTTAATATTTTTAAGTAGCAAGAAATAACAATATCCTAAGTAAAATGCTTTGGTTTATAAAGTTCATTTCCACAGTGTTAGAGATTTTACACTTAAGAGCTGATGTAGATATATAGTTAAATAATATTAGAAATACTTTAAAATGTTCTTTGTCTTGTTATTTTGGCTTATGCTCCATCTTAAATTATATTTTAATTTTTGAGCATTCTTTTTATTCAACATTCTTTTTATTTTAAAATTGTTTTGCTTCAGTATTTTAAAATGTGTTATCCACTCTCCACAACTATGACTCTTGCATGTTTTTATTATCATAGCTAGAAAAGAATTTTGTTTTTGATGTTTCTTTTTTGTTTTTAGTCTGCAAGTCATATTGCTTCTAATCCAAAAGCAAGTGCAAAAATGAAAAAGGACAACATCAAATATGCCAGTTGGGCTGCTAATCAAATAAACAGGGCTTATCAGGTCAGTATTGACAATTTTGGTGTGTAGGTTGCTTGATGTCTTTCTTTGTCACGTTGGTCTCTGTAAACTACAAAGGCAAACGTCTGTTACTGGAACTTGTTTTTACTGCCTTGGACCTGTATCACATATTCCCTTTCTGACCTTTCCCCCATAAAGCAATCTCTTAGTTTAATGATATATTTAAGCTTTAATTTGTAAATCTCATTTGTTAAATATGAAGAAATTATAAAGCCCAGAAGTTAAACCAGAGGACGCAGTTTAGAAGCATATTGGATGTGAGAATGCATTTGCTTTGGTAGTATCTCAGAAAATAATGAGAGGCAAAAGAAAGGCTTCATGGTGAACTAGCCGGACCTCCTGTTAAAGCTTGCGTTGTCCGTGTGCACTTCAGAGCGCATATCCAATTTCTCTAGTTGTTAGTTTTCTGCAGCTCATTTCTAGGGAATTTTCCCTTTTTTTCAGGAAACTTTTTTCTTGGGAAATTTGTCCATGAGAAAACTACCTGCTTGCTTTTTGTTTTGTTTTTTTTAAACCCTATTTGTATTTGCAGGACAGTTTGGCAGTTTATAGTCTTTTTGGCTTACACTTACTTATGTGTTTTAACTGTATTTTCCCAATGGCTTATGGATAGAATGTTGTCCAGAAACCTAATGCCATTCCAACTTTCTCTTATAAATGATTTAGATTTTTGCTTGGTTGCCCAAAGGAATTTTTTCTTTATTTTTAAATTCAGAGGTCTATGATATATTTCATTGGTTGTTTTGGTATCAGTATTTCTAAGTGCACAGACCCCTTGTTTACAGGAGTCAGTCCTGTTACTTGAGAAAGGACACTTTTAGAGTTACGATTTCTATCCTCTTTGCTCCAATGTTCTCCTTCGAGACTCCAATTATAGATACATTGCTTCTCCTCTTCCTGCCCTTTACTTGGTTTCTTTCTCCTTTTTTTGTCATTCTGTTGTTTTAACATATCATGTTCTCTTTCTTGTTTCCACTTTGGAATAGGTCCTGGGCTGTTAGGACGTGTCTGTGGGATGGAGTTGGGGTTGTGATGGTGTAGCTTTCCTCACTTGTCTTTTCTGTCTTCCCTCTTTGTTACCATTCTGGGTGTCTGCTCTTTGTCACAGATAGGCCTGGTTTGGATGTGCTGGCTGCAGTCCTCTTGGACTCCACAGAATTCTGTAGGGCTGGGGTTCTCAGGTGTTGCCCTGTGGTGTGTGTTGTTGGTTTCCTTTTGCAGTTCGTCTCACCTTAGTTTCTTTCTGTTGTTTCTTCCTCTAGTTCCACGTTTCTGTCCTATTCAGTTTGCTTTTAGATTTTAGTATTTTCTTTGAGTTTTGAAGTGTTTATGCTTTGGGAAGCAGAGGTGTTGGCTGCATGTTTGAAGTCCTACATTGTTGAATTTGTTTAATCATATTTACATGAGCTTTCTGAGGTGCCTATGATTTGGAGGTTTGAAGACGCTTTCCAACTTTTTTGGGCTATCTGTAGATTCATCAACTCAAGTTTTACTCTTTGGGAGACTAATGTTGGTATTTTTTTCATTTTTGATTTATTAAGGTCTTAGATTCTCTTCTCTTCATTGCTCCAACATAGAGCTGGTTCTCTGTTGCAGATCCTGCTGCCATTGGCCACAGGATCTCATTGGAATGTTTAGAAAATTGCTTGTGAATGATGTTTTTGGAATGTGTTATTTGAGGGCTGATTTTTCTCTTGTCTTCATTTGTTTTAATGTTGTTTTAGCAATCCTTAGCTAGAGAAGTTTGGGACTATTAAAAAAGTTCTTTGCTCCCTAATTATACTGTTTAAAATAACCTTTATTTATATATAATATATCATAGAAAATATTATTCTGTTAGCATATTATGACTCAGAATGCTTATAAATAGCTAGTCTTTTTTTTTAAATGTAGTTGGCATAGCCCAGATCTCTTCTATATGTGTGTATGTGTTTTAAAGATAGGAACAATATAACAACACAAGGTGATGGTGTGTACAATATATGATTATTTCGATTTATTAGAAATGGCTACCCAGGAATTGACTTTTTGATATGACATGAATACATTTTGTGTGTGTGTGTGTAGTTTTTTGAGACCGAGTTTCTCATTGTATAGGCTTGACTGTCCTGTAACTAGCTCTGTAGACCATACTGGCCTTGAAATCATAGCGATCTATCTGCCTCTACCTCTTAACTGCAGGGATTAAAGTCATGTGCCACCATCACACAGCACATCATCCTCCTGACTCAGCCTCCAAAGTACTGAGATTATAGGTATACATCCCTATATCTGGCTCAATTTCTCACTCTTACTGGGTGACACACAAGGACAGTGTTTCACTGATATTACAGTGGATACATCACTGACTCTACATTTGAGAATGAGGTTTTTATTGTTTGGTTGTTTCTATGTTCTTTCTGGTAAGTTTTGTCGTTACTGTTTTAAGATCCACAAGCCAGGCATGAATGTTTGCTCACATGAGTATAACTGGGGTAAACACAGAATCTGTGAATGAGCTGAGAAGTAGAACTTCCAGACCCACATTCTTGTAACTAGATAAAGCTTTAAGAGCCATTTGAGTAAAACATAAAATATATATTTGTTACTGCAGTGTTTTTCTACGTATTTATAAATTTGAAAAAAAATGGGGTTTTAGCAACAGTTTTTCTTTGCCTCTTAATAAAACAAAACATGGCCACTGCTTGCTCTTTAACTAAGTAATTGGTGTAGCGTGTTGAGGAGAACAGACATTGGTTTAGTGCACTGGAAGTTTCTTGTAAATCTGCTGACAGTTTTGCAGATCAACACCTTCTGCATATACTGTTAAATTTGTCTGTCTCAGATCCATATGTTATTATGACTGTCCAAGTGTATCTATTACTGCCCTTTTGGAAAATGGAAAATTAAATCATGATTTGAGGAAAAAATGAGATCCTGGCTTAATCAGTTCAATTGCCATATAATTCTGGAATAGACTAGATAGTTATGTCTCAGGAAGAACTTGGAATGAAAGATTTATATTTGCAACTTTTTAAATGTGTTTAGACATACGTTTGAGGTAGCTTGGTTTATCCTAGGTTGTAGTGGTTGTCAGTAGTGGTGACACTATCTTACATCTGTATTTTATTAGCTAACTTTGAAGGACCATGCTTTTACTTTTGAAAGTATATTTATATATAAATTTAACAATCCTATATTTAAAAATAGATGTTCAGGTGTCCCCAAATTTTTATTTTCACTTTGCTCTTAAGATAAAATTAGAATAATTATAGAATAATGAATTAGAATAATTGTTTTATACCCTTTCCCCAACCCGTCAAGTCTTTTTATCAAAATCAGTCCATAAATGTTGTGATTAGAGCCATTCCTGTTTTTACTGAATGAGCAATAAAAGAAAAGCCTTTCTGTGCTTGCCAAATCCCACAAAAATAAATTTATCAACTGGATGATAGGCAAGAGGCATACCTTCCCTATAATCTTTAATTGCTAAGAGAAATTATTTTCACAAAGTTTTAAATATGATGTTGCCATAATTCATAACCATAACTGCTATTTTTCCCAGTTCCCTTCCTTAAGCTGTGATCTGTATTATGGAAGGCAGGGTGCCTGTGTTTACGGTACCATAGCTAAGATGCTCTCTAATTGTCTTTTCTGCCAAGTAGACCCTGAGCTGCAGCACCTAATGCTGGAGGCGTGACTGTGCACGTAGACAGGTCAGAGGAGGTGACCAGTAACAAAGCCTGTGCTCCTGTTACCTGTGTGCTCATCCCATCTTTCTAGACAGGTCATGAATAGTTTGCCAAATTCAGTAATTACGAAAGAAATAAACACATAGTAAATCAAGTATTACTTACTGTCATAAGGTAGTTGCTGGAAAATATGTTAGAATTACTAGATGTTGTTAATACCACATTTTAATCAATACTTTGACCATGGGAAAGTAAGGACTACAGGTAGAATAGACTCCCCTTCACTCACAGAAACAATCATTTGTCTGGTAAATCTGTTGTGTTTAATCAGGCTAATGTAAACGGTGGTGACTGTTAGCACAGTTAGAAAACTCATTTTGAAATCAGCATGGGGTATTCAGCAGTGATTCTCCAGTGATTTAAGTCCATGAGTTTTTGAATTTAAAGTGTTGTGAATTTACTTTTGTATACACAAACCTAGAACTTGATATATTGTTTTTGGTTTTCACTGTAAATTCTAGTCTGAATAAACAAGAAACATATCATCCAGTTAACTAACAAATCTGAGACATTAAAAATGTGAGCTAGTCTAAATAATGCTAAAGTGTGTGCACTTTTCCTTTGAGATGCCTAGTTAAAGTCCTTTCGTTTGTTCACTTGCTTGACATTCCAAACATCTATTTGTATGATAGGCAAAGCTATCTAGCAACTCCTGTTCTCTATATGTATGGCTTAAACTGTATATATGGCTATATATAGCTTAAACTTCCTTTAAGTTATGCAATGATTCATAAATACTTTAGAATCTGGATCTAGGGTAGTTTTCAAATCCAATCTAAGCTTTTATAGGTTATCATATTAATTAAAATCAGCTTAAACTGCTCAAGTACGTGTAGTGAAATATTTAATGCAAATGTCTGTAAAACTCTCTTGAGTTCGTTGTATTGGAAAACACATGTGATTGCACACAAATGATGCAATCATATTTTTATTAGCAATAAAATATAACGATGAGTGTGATGTTTGAACTTTGCAGTGATATTGAGACTAATTGAATTCTTTTTTCTTTCTAATTAGTTTGCAGGTCGAAGTAAGAAGGAAACCAAATACTCTCTTAAGGCAGTTGAAGACATGTTGGAAACATTGCAGATCACTCAGTCTTAAGGTTTCAGAGACTCTTTGACATTAGATTTCAAAACTATGCAGCTGAACTTCTTGGCCTGTGACTTATTTACTAAATGCCAAGTGCTGTTTGCATTCATTTTCTTTGAAGAGGTCAGTTATAAAGAATGTGTTCAAATAAACCTCAACTTGTCTTGTATTGATAAGCAGGGAGTTGGAGGGAGTCCATGGAAGAGAGATTCAAGACCTATTGATTGTATATCTGTCTTGTTGCCCCCATTTACCTTATAAATAAACCATGATTTATTAAACTTATGCATGAAAATTCAGGTTTCTTTTTTATATTGTAATTAGTATGCTATTATAGGGCTCATTTGTCAGCTAAGTTCTCATTGGCGTTGAGAAATTTACAAAATTTATAGCTTTCAGAAACAAGTTACTTGAATGTTTTATAGTGACAGACTGGATTTTGTGCCTGTGTGAATGTTTATTATTTCAGTTTGTTCTAATAATAAGCCTTGCTTAAATTATGCCATTCTCTAAAGTTGGCAATATCTCTGTGAAATTTTTTTGATATCTACATTTTTGTCCATAAAATGTTTTGAAGGTAATATGGGCTAAACATTGAGAATTAGCCTTTTTACACATTGTGTTTATTAAAACTTTTAGTTGTGAAATATAGAAAATATGTTTAGGATCATAGAAATATCAGTGAAAGATATTGTTATCACTGGGTCTACTTAGTTTTGGGGGTGAAGGGAAAAATCTAAACTGTCTTTAGGAATAAAATTATTAGAGTTCTCATATACAGTCACCTCCTTCCTACAGTTTCTTGTCGTTTTCTCTGTGTGGTCCATAGCCGTTATTCTGCCTTCAGCAGCGTTTGCATATAGGTTAGAGAAGACTGAGCACTAAGTACCCGGCAGCTGTCTATTCAGGGCTCTGCATTCACCATCTGTCATGAGGGCTTGTGTGGAAAATCAACAACTGTCTTCATTATCAGCCAGTTTGAACTCGTAATAATTCTTTGTACCAGTAAATTATTTTTAATGTTTTATCTAACCTTCAGTGTTACTGGTATTTTCACTTTATTCTCTCCTGGGTCATGAATGGAAACTTGGTATCTTCTGTGAACTAACTCTGCCCATGTGAGGACAATTTTCCACTGCTGATCTGTGAGCATGAAGATCTATTTTTTGTGTACACAAACCTACTAACTGCATTTCCAGCATTATGAAATGTTTATGTTTGCCATAAAGAACCTAGTGCCTGCACATTGTCCCGTTACCTTTTCTCCCTCTGCTGTCCTCCCCACCAGTCACTGGAGAAGAATTTACTTCTGCACTTGTATTTGTGTGGTAAGTAATTTAGTTTTTCCTCTAGCTGCTAACCTTGGTTTCCTTTTATTTTTTAAAGTCATTTTTAAAGTAATTTCCTGCCAAGAACTTTGAAGTACATTGTTAATAGTAGTAATTTATAAGTTTCTGCTTAGGTGTACTGACGATCTCTGTTCTTTATTTTCAGTGAGTTACTTTGTTCAGGTAGTGACAGAACTTCCTTTCTTCGGGATTAGAGGAGAATCCAGAGGAGGTGTCATAACTCATAGGAAGCAGAGCTGGTTTGCTCCTTATGGTCAGCAGTCAGGTAAGACAGCTTTTGCTGGATGGAAAGCATTTGCTGTCTTGTCTGGCTCTCTTAGATGTGGCTATTGAGCACTGGACATGATCTGGACTCTTAATGCAACTGAGAAGCTCAGGTTTTGTGGCTTACACAGATGTAGGCACAGATGATGTGTGTGAGATCTGACAAGGTTAGGCCAGTGAAATAAACAGAAGCTTGCTGAAAAGGCCCTGCTTCCAACGGAAATGGTGAAGTTGGTGAAGTGATGCTTTTTGCCTCCTTTTCTGCTCTTGAATGTCAGAGAAATGCCTCGAGTTCCCATGCTGTTTAGAACCGCGGAATGGCAAATGAGAGAATGACAGTTCTGGTTCAGAGAGGGAGCACAAGTTAGACAGCAATGGTGGCACTGACACACGCCTGACACGGGCCGCAGCCACTGCTGTGCTTACTTTTGCGTGAGAAACATCCACTCGGCTGTTTGAGACTCCAGCTGTGGGTGCTCCTGACTGACATACCGACTGCTTTCAGAAGCTTAGGTTTGACTCATCAGAAATGCTGTTTCTTATAGACTGTCTTAAAGCAAGAAGACGTTTCCGTGTAACAGAAGAGCATCTCATTGCTCGTCAGCTCCTTGCATTCTCATCCAGCAGATATGATCTTTCCTTAAGGGCATATCTTCTGAGCTTTAATCATAAGAACATCAATTTCTGGGCACAGAAGATAGAAACAAACAGAAATGTAAGGTCAGTACTGCTGTGTGCTGAAAGCGTATTATTAAACTGTCGATTAGTAACTATGTCAAGGGTTGATTTGGTCTATTAACAGCAGTCCATTTATTCTCAAATTAGTTTCTTTTCCTAAAATTAGGATTTTAGGAGTGATTTAGAAATTTAAACTTAATTTCAAGAAAGAAATTTGGGGACTGGAGAGTTGGCTCTGTATTAATTGCTGTCATCACTCTTGTAGGGAACTTAGGTTCAGTTTCCAGTACCACGTGTAGCTCACAATCCTCTCTAACCACTGCCATGGCTTCTGGCAGCTCCTTCAGGCTCCCATGAGCACCAGGAACACGCATACATGCATACATACATACCTGCAAAAATACCCATACGTATAAAATAAAAATAAATATTAAAAATTTGATGCTCAGAGAAATTAATGTAGTTTGTGGTAGAATGGAGTGTCATAAATTCTCAGATCACAGTTGTTTGTGATGCCTTGTGTATGTGTCTGCCTGGTAATGCATTTTTCTGTTTGTGGTGGGGGGGGGGCGATGGTCAATGGATCAATGGAATTCAGATTTTTTTAACTTGTAAAACAATTTTTTAGTTGATAGTAAAGTCAGATTCCGATTCAAATTGAGTTTAAACTAAATTATGAATAAACTATTATTTATTCGTAGTCAATGAGAACTATTTCAGGATAGAAGTACTTTCATGCTCTTCCCCTTTGAGCCTCTGATGCTCTCTGTTTTCTTGCTCACCCCTAACAGTCAACTTCTTATTATAGACAAAATCGTCTTCCCCCAAATTCATATTCATTCCGTATTCATTGTTTTGCCCACTTGTAATTAGCATTCTTTAGTAATATTTCATTTCAAGATACTTGAAGACTTACCAGAAATTGTGAAAAATAGGGCAGAGATTCTCCCTACGGAACCACAGTGAATTGACAACAAGAAATGGATATTGTAGCAGAACTGTTAATTTAGGTGCAGCCCTAACATTTTACAAATCCAATGTTTTTTTCCTCTCTGTAAAAATTTACATATAGGCACTTGGTACCATTTCTGCAGTTAGAATCCAGACATTCATATAAGCTCCTGTAATCTGCAGTAGTTGCACTCCTGCGCACCGCCAATGTTCAGTGTCTCTGACACATTAGATAGAGACCAGTGCTTTATAAGTACACACACAGAATATTAGCAAAATTACACCAGAGTTGTAAGCCTGATTCAGTATTGGAAAACCCAATATATTTTGTACAAAAACAATTCAACCAATATAAAGCATTTGACAAGCTTCAGTTCCCATTTATAGTTTAAAATAAAACCTCAGAAACAAAAGGAAACTTTCCCAACTCTGTGAATAGAATCTACAGCAACTTAATGATGAAAACTAAATATATTCTCTGTAAGACTTGGAGTAAAGACCGCTCACTTTTACAAGTTTTCTTCAGCGAGGAGCTGTTCATTTAAACACTGTAATGACATAGTGCTGTACTGAGGCCTCATGAGTGTTCCCGACTGCCCCGACTCCCAAAATAATCACACAGAAACTATATTATTTGCAATCCTGTTTGATCAATAGCTTAAGCATATTGTTAGCTAGCTCTTAAAACTAGCATTAACCCATTTCCATTATTTTATATTTTATCATAAGGCTTATGACCTACTGGGAAGGTTCCGGCGCATCTGTCTCCAGTGGCAGTTCGATGGCTTCTCCATCACTCCACCTCCTTTTTTCCAGCATTCAGTTTAGTTTTCCTTGCCTAGTTCTACTCTACCCTATCACAGGCCTAAGACATTTCTTTATTCCTAAGACAGTTTCTTTATTAACTAGTAGTATTCACAGCATACAGAGGGGAACCCCACATCAGCACAGGAAAAGGAAATGCAAGACTATACACTGAAAAGGAAGGAAGAAAACTGCATGTATTTCCAAGTAGTAAGTTTGTCCGTAACAAAATCCCAAACAATCACCAAGAATTTACTGGACTCACACGTGAATTTAGTAAGATTGCAGATCAAAGGTTGATGCCCCAAATAAAACCTTTTCTTTAGTTAAACAAAAGATTTATTTGCTAAAAATGACTAGTACTAATAAAATATCAGTGGAAACCTATTTTTGTGGATTGGAGGCCTCAACATCCTAACAGTAGTTTTCCCAGGTGGTTCTGTAGATTTAATGTGATTTCTGTTGAGATTGTATATGTGTTGCAGGGTGACAAGGTGATTCTAAAGTGTATGAAGCAGCCACCGAAGAGGAATAGAAGTACTTGAGAACCGTGAAACTGAAGGATCGTAATACTGTATGCTAAGACACAGAGCTACAGCGACAGAACTCTTTCCTTGGGTGCCAAGCACATGCATCAGTGGGACAAGATAACCACAGACCCCTAGCTGTATGGAAATTTGATTTTTGACAGTAGTGTTCAAGACAATGGAGGAATTGTCTTGGGACAGGTTTTTTTTTTTTTTTTAGTACACTGGAACAGTCAGACGACCAACAAAATCAACAGCAAAACCTCTGTGCCAAAACCTACTTTATAAACAATTTAATTCAATATGGGCCATATAAAATGTGAGACTGTAAAACTTAGGAGAAAATAAAGAAGGAAGTATTGAGAAAGAGTTAAGCTAAGATACTTTCAAGTGACAGCAAAGTTCTTTTTTTTTTTAGTTGAACATTGTCAGAATTGAAAACTCATTCTATAAAAGACCCTATTAAAAAGAATGATAATGGAAGCTATAAACAAAAACTTTGTAAACATAAACTCAAAATGCTTATGTCCACAGTATCTAAAGAACTCTCACAACTTATGAAATAATGCAGGGAGGAAACATGCCGCACACCGCGGCCCAGGTTTGCTCTCTATGCGCTAGACCCGTTCGTGAGCTTCGGGAAAGGGGTTGAGAATACTCTTGCAGAGACAGACCGACACACAGACCTTCGATCACTGGAGGCTTAAATACA